TACACATATGCCCCCCTACATTCATACACATGCCCCCACCTTATACATACACACACACACACATACACATCAATAATCCAACTCTGCTTTAAACCACTGAGTGTAAGAGAGATTCAGAAATTGTACTTGTAAGTGATGTTTGCTCTCAGGGTCATTCTAAAAGAAAAAGGGAGAAAACAAACTAGTAAGATTTCATCTGTATTATAAAAAGTTGGGAAAATGTGGTGTTCATTTGCAGTGACATTCACTTTTTAAAATTTACCTCACCAGACCAGCTCTGTTTGATTTTCCACACAATTAGCTATATCCAGTTTTCAAATAACTTCTCCTAGGTTGTTTGCTTGATTAGATTCTTTGAAACCCAGAATCAGTTTCTCCTGTGTGCCTCACCCTATGTAATATTTCTGTGGTTTACATTTAAGAAGACCATCCAGCGACAGTCCCAGGGTTACACGCAAAGTGTGTTGGACATCTGGAAAGCCCAGGATCCTGCCAGTCTGGCATCACAGCTCCCCAGGATGGGGGAGGGGGTGGAGTGGGTCAGGAGTAAAGGTTCAGGTGTTGCCTATGCCAGAAGCAGACTCAGCTCTCCTCTGGGGAGAAATAAGAGGCCCAGGTCTCCCCCGAGGACAGCATTTGATTGGCCCACACAGTCTAGGGGCATTCTTTCTGCCTCCGTATTGAGGGTCACCCTAAAATACCCCAAGAATCCGTATCTGAAGACCCGAAGCACTTGACAATTGGTTCCTAACAAAAGAATTCATGGTATATTGGTCTGCCTTGTAGTGGGAAGAAGGCAATGGAGTCAAGGGTAAATTCCTTACCAGACTTTTGTCCAGCCATTAAGAAGCAAGGATCATTTGCCCAATCATGTTTTCAAACATTTATTCAACACCTACATAGTACCTGAATAAAGTGTACACAGTGCTAGGAGCTTAGGGAGATACACAGATAATTCAGACCGGGTCCATACCTTTAATAGCATTTATGTTCTAATAACGTAAATGGTGAGATGTGCTTAAATATTACAAATGCACCAGAACGTAATAGGAGAGAGGAGCTTGCTAAGTGCTTGGGGAGGTTGGAGGAGGGAAGTCTGATTAGTGTTCCTCACCTTCAACATCCCAATAGCCCCCTGTAGCTGTCTTTACTCTTTTGCCCATTCTCTCACTCTTCACCATCCATCCTTCTTCCCTTGGAAGTCTCATGGAATGACTCCAGTTTACACTTGTCTCTCCCTGCTTGGAACTCCAAAAACACCCAATCCCTGGTGCAGGACATAAAATTTTATCCTAACCAGAGAATGCCCTATGACAGTCCTTACTAGTGGGGCTAGAATCTACTTCCCCAAACAGATTGTAAACTTCTAGAGGGAAGGGTCTTTCGTCTGTCTTCCTGAGAGTGGATCTCCTATTGTAAGGAATGGAAGAAGGGCTCTGGGAAGACTCCTTGGTTGTTGGATGGCAGCTGCCTCCTTCCCCTACAGGATCCAAAACAGTTCTTTTCTTTTGATTCCCTAAAACTGAAAATCTTCTTTTCATTATTTAATATTTTATTCTTTTCCCAATTACATGTAAAAACAATTTTAACATTTTTTTTCAAATTTTGAGTTCCAGATTCTCTCCCTCTCTCCTCTTCCACCCTTCATTGAGAAGGCAGGCAATTTGACATAGGTTATACATGTGTAGTCATGAGAAACACACTTCCATGTAAGTCATTCTGTGAAAGAAAATACAGACAAAAAATCCAAGAAAAATAAAGAACGTAAAGAAAAAGTATATTTGATCTGCATTCAGGCTCTACCAGTTCTTTCTCTAGAGATGGACAGCACCTTTCGTCATAAGTCCTGCAGAATTGTCTTGGATCATTGTATTGCTGAGAGTAGCTAAATTATTCACAGAAGATCATCATATAATATCGCAGTTACTGTGTACAGTGTTTGCCTGGTTCTGCTCATTTCACTTTGCATCAATTCATGTAAATATTTCCAGGTTTTTCTGAGAGCATTCTGCTCATCATTTCTTAAAGCACAATAGTATTCCATCACTATCACATACAACAACTTGTTCAACCATTGATGGAGATCCCTTGAGTTTCCAATTCTTTGCCACCATTAAAAGAGCTGCTATAAATATTTTATATGCATAGATACTTTCCCTTTTTTTTATCTCTTTGGCATAAACCTAGTTGTAGTATTGCTTGGTCAAAGCATATGCATGGTTTTATAGCCGTTTGGGCATAGTTTCAAATTGTTCTCCAGAATGGTTGAATCAGTTCACAACTTCACCAATAGTACATTAGTGTTTTAATTTTCCCACATCCCCTCCAACATTTGTCATTTTCCTTTTCTGTCTTATTAACCAATCTGACAGGTGTGAGGTGGTAGCTCAGAGTTGTTTTAATTTGCATTGCTCTCATCAGTAATGATTTAGAGCATTTTTTTCATATGACTATAGATAGCTTTGATTACTGTGTCTGAAAGCTGTCTGTTCATATCCTTTGACCATTTATCAGTTATGGACTATCCCCCAACAGTGAGGGTGATCCAAAAAAGTTGCTAGGACCAAAAAACTTAGGGGTGTGTGAGTGCGGGGGGTGTTGACTTAGAAATGCAGTTAGAACTTCCACTCTGATGTCCATAAGACAGGTCTATGCTCACACCTACAAATAAGCTTCATCTTTGGATGAATCTCCATTGTCTGTATTATCCATGCTTTTGGTCCCCTCAAATACTTTAGAAAATCGAGAGCTGCCTTCAACGAGATTTGTCCTAGGATTACTCCATTCAAAACTTTTACACTTTTTTTTTTCAAAATTAGATATTTAAGATTTTTTACAATTTCTTTTGGTATTCCCTTAGGAGAAAACATGGATTTGTACAATATGACCATCCAGCGCAATGTCTCCAACGAAACCGTGGAAAACCCAGCCCATTGTGATGACCACTGCAGGAGGGTGCTGGCCACACTCTATAGCATAGTCTTGTTAGGAGGGACAGCCAGCACCATCATGATGTCCCATGTCTTGTTGCAGAGGAATTCCCAGTCCATCATCACCGTCATCATCGCCAACATCATCGTGCTGCATTCCATCCTCCTGCTCAGTCTTCCATTCCGCCTCAGTTACTACTTTCTGTTGGAGTGGAAGTTTGGCTGGTTCATCTGCCCGGTCATCAGCAGCATGGTACATTTCCATATGTACTTCACTTTTGTTTTCTATGTGGCCATCATTGTCATACGCTTACTCATTTACTTTAAAAGGTTCCCCCTGCAGGAATTACAGAAGTGCCATGTGATAGCCTTGAGTGTTGCCATCTGGTTGGTGGGGATGCTCATTTTCTCCCTGATTTTTCTGTTCTAATATGGCACCCATATGGACTCTTCTCAGCATCACTGTTTTCAGTTCTACCAAGAACTCAACCACACGCCAGTGATTGTCATCAATTACTGCATGATTGGCATTATCATGGTGACAGTCTTGATCCTCTCCCTGATTCAGCTGGTTGTCATCACCCAACTCACCAAAACGCTCTGGCCTGAAATGTTGACACACCAAGAGTTTCGAGCTCATATCAATAGTTTCTTTTTCTTGGTGGTAATTATTGTTTGTTTCCTACCACATCACACCTTTCGGGTTTTCTTCATTCAAAATTATTTCCAGAACAAAAAACCTGAATTAATTCTCTATGGTGAAATTTGCAAGGCTTTAACGACTGTCTGCTGCCTGGACATGTGCTTCATAAGCAGACTGGCCCGTTGGAACGCTTACTTTGGGCTGCTGGTATTTGGTGGTTTTGTCTAAAAGCAGATTGATTAATAGAATAGCAGAAGAGGCCTTAGCCCTGCCCTCAGAGTAGCTGAAGGCTGTTGCTATGTTAACCTGGCCCAGTTGCCTTGCTGCAAAGAGGTGTGAGGATGAAAGGCAAATGAAAGAGAATGTGGCTTCCCAAAATCCCTATTAAGGACTCCCTGTTCACCTGTAGAGCCAAATACAACACCTCGGTTTGGCATTCAGACCGGCTTTTCAGCCTCATTACATATGATTCCATTTCATATGCTCTTTTATCTGGCAAAATTAACCTTTCCTGATGATATCTGGTTTTTTTTTACAAGAAAAACAAGTGAAGAGTATCCTCACCCCTTCCCCCCAGTTCCTCATATTCTCCTTCCAAATTACCATATATCTATTTTGTATCTATTCTCTAGACACATATAAAGTATGTTATAGAATGTTATTTTGTATTTACATGTGCACAAAGGGCTTCACCCTATGGAATGTAAGCCTTTTTAGGATAACTTTTCTTTTTCATATTTTTGTATGGCTTATTATTTTTTGTATCCCCAGTGCCTAGCACTCTGTCTGGTATGTAGTAGGGACTTAATAAATACTTTGATCACTTCCTTAATTGAAGCCAAAGCAGTGTCACAAAAACCCAGAAAGGAGAGAATATTTAGGTGGAAAGGGGTGGTCCACAGTGTTTAGTGCTCCAAAGAGGTCAAGAAGAGTGAGACCAGAGAAATGACGCCCACCACATTCTGCAATTGAGATCGCTGGTTACTCTGCAGATGCTTTCAGTTGAGTGGTGGGGCTGGAAGCCAGATGTGAAGAGGCTGGATTGTGAGGGAGGGCCAGGAAGTAGAGGCAGTGAATGTCAAAAGTGTTTTTTGATAGTGTAACTGTGGAAGGAAGCAGGGATATGGGAGGGTCAAGGGAGGGTTGCCTGGGCTCGCTAAAATCCGTAGTCACCAAAAACCCGTTCCCTGTTTTTCTGCATCTCCAGTAGACTGTGATAGTCCCTCCCAATGTAGCAAAACCTCAATTCCTAAACCCTTTAAAATAACAATGTCTGGTTCTTGTTTGCCCTTATCTGATGCCCTGGACCACCAGTCTTGCTTCTAGCCCAGCCCTCACAACTGTCATCTAGGGGAGGAGTCAGCCATCCCCACCAAATGCCAATGCTCTGCTACTCATTGGGCAGGCCAGCCTAGCTGAGCAATGGGGCACCCCAAGAGAGGGACAGGAGGTTGTATGAGTGGGGCAGTTCAGACCACCAGCACCCCATGCACCCCAACTCTCTTCAGACCCCAATGGAGACAGCCCAGGACGCTGAGCCCAAGAGCCTTGGAAAGAACCAGGCTTCCAGCCCAGTGCCCTCGGCCATCTTCCTAGGAAGCTGCTGCAGCAAGATGCAGCCTGGGCCCTGCAGCCATAGCCCAAGATGGCAACCAGGAAAAAGAATACCGTATGTGCAGAGAAGAGTAGTTGATAATAAACTGATTGCTGACAAGAAGTGTAATAGTCCTATTAACTAAATGTAAAGAGTAAGAAAACCTGAAAAAAAAGCAATGTTTCAACATGAATGTGATTTCATGACACATAAAAATCTTAAGTAATAAGAGTAATTAATTGAAATTTCCCCTTTTTAATATGGTTTATTTGCAAAATAGTTTAATCACTAATTATACACTTACTTGTAAAACGAACCACTAAAAACCTATCTGCGGCCGAAGGAGTTTAGCCCTTCCTGCCAAGTTGTGGGGAAAGGGCCACACGGCATCTGCAGTTCAGCAACCAACCAGCAGATGGCAGCGTTTGGCAGAGAACCAGCGCATGGCGTAACAATCTCTATCAACCCCTCGTAGCCCGGTAGAGACAACAGCTCTCAGGCAGCAGAGAAAGGAGACAGAGCAGTGACCCGCTCAATTCTGCAGGAGCCCAGCAAGCAGCAGCCCTAGAAACTGAGTGTTGGTTTTCACTGCTTGTACAATGAATCCTTTAGGAATTAATCAAGGCCAGTATAATCACAAAGGGAAAGATGATGGAATCAAACTTGAAGTCAGTGAATTTGCTATCGATTACTTGCAAAAGTATAAAACATAATATTAAAGGGATGGATGGCAAGCATTTAGAAAGAGAAACCATAATCAGCAAGAGTGAGAATGGCCATTCAAGTATGAGAAGTTACTTCTTTCGGACTCACCTCATTTCCTTTTTAGGGAAGGATAAGGACACTGGCATCTCAGGGGGATTCTGTGGACTTAGTTATGCTTGGCCTTCAGCAAAACGCTTGGTCAAGTCTCTCGTGCTATCCTTGAGGACAGAATGGAGAGATGTGGGCTAGAGGATAGTCCAGATGGATGGGCTCAGAACTGCTCGAGTTACTAGACCCAAAGAGTAGTCAGGAATGGTTGGATATAACTTGTCTCTAGTGAAGTGCCCCAGGAATCTGTCTGACCCCGTGCAGCTTAACGTTGTTTATCAGCAACTTGGATGAAAGCATAAATGTCAAACTTCTTAAATTGCAAGAAGACCCAGAGCTATGAGGGAGTGCTACTGTTCTGTGAAAGTGTTAAGATCCAAAAATATGTGGGCAGGTTAGAATGTTAGTCCACAACTAATACGGTAAATTTAACAAGATCGATGTAAAGTCCTGTATTTGGATCCAAAAAGTCAACTTAAAAGTACAGGATCAAGAAGATGTAGCCAGATAAAAAGAGTTGATTTGGAAAAGCTCTGATGGCTCTAGTGGACCCCAGGCTCTATGTTGGGTTGAATGGTGAAATATGAGAACCACAAAAGTGACTCAGTCTTGGGATGCATTAGGAGAGGTGCAATATTGATAACCTCTTCCCTTGGCCATGGCTGGACCCCATCTGAAGTACAGGGACCAATCCTGGGTGACATGAGGTGGGCAAGCTGGAAAGCATGCCAAAGAACAGCCCAGGATGTTGAAGAGCCTCATGCAATATGGAAGTTCAGTTAAGGAACTGGGGGTGTTGAACCTGGGAAACGGAGGATGTGCAGGACACCATATTAGATATCTTCTAGGTCTCGGAAGGATGTCACATTATAAAGAAGGCATAAGACTTGGTCTGCTTGGCCCTCTCTTTTTTATTTCCTATTAATCCTGTCTCTAACTCACTTTGTGTCTCCACCATTAGATTATAAGTTCCTTGAAGGCAGGGACTGTCTTTTGCCTCTTTTTGTATCCCCGGCACTTAATAAATGTATATCAAATGAATAGATTGAAACTAGGAGCAGAAGTGGGAAGTGGCAAGGAGAGAGGCTTATATTTGAAGTACAGAAAATCTTTATAACAATTAGGGCTACATACAAATGGAATGAGATCCCCATCCCTGCAGGTCTTCAAGCAAAGACCAGAAGACCACCAGTTGTGAATGTTAGAGATATGGGGATTCTCGTCTGCATTCAGCTGCTACAGACGGTGTCTTAGCTTACTTCCAGCTCTGAAAGTCTGTGAATCTTAGGGTTTAAGTAGATATCAGCTGGAGTGTCTCAAGCATCTGAAACCCACTCAAGTGGGGTTTGGGAAAGGAGAATGGAGTAACCGTGTGCCTGAACTTGTCCCTCCTGAGGCACCATCGTTTAAGTTTGATTTTGGGGCAGCTAGGCGGTGCAGTGGATAGAGCACCAGCCCTGGGTTCAGGAGGGCCTGAGTTCAAATCCAGCCTCAGACACATAACACTTACTAGCTGTGTGACCCTAGGCAAGTCACTTAACCCCATTGCCTAACCCCCCCCCCAAAAAAGTTTGATTTTAATTAGGATTCTTTCCATTTTTGACTCTGAGGTGATTTCTGGGATAAATGAATAAAAATGCTGCATTTGGAATCAGAGGAGCTGAGTTCAATTCAGGGGGCTCTTTGAGCTTTCATTCTATGAGCCTAACCCTGTAAGCTCCCCCTGGACTCATCCTTTGTGTGGACATCACTGTATGGACACTTCAGAGGAGTTGGCACAAAGCAGTATTTATGGTGCTATGATCCTGTAGATTCTCAGAAAATATCTGTTAGGTGAATGGATGTGGTGCCTCTCAGCTGCAGTGCAGCAGAGGCCCACCTGTGTGGACACCGGCAGGGCCAGTTAGCAATTCCAAAAGAAATTCCAAAAAAAATGGATGCTTCCTATGGCCTTTGGGTGTGAACAAACGAACTTCACCAAGGAGAAACTGTGGAATGGGTGGCATTGCTCCTCTGGTTTCCTCTATAGGGAGAGCGTCGAGATTGATAGGTTTCACTTCCTGCAGTGTGGCTGCTCGTGGCCTGTCGTCGGCTATGATTTCACTCAGGCAGCAGAACTGGGCAGGAGCTGGCATGCAAGCCGGACTGCCTTTGGGAAATTGCCAAGTTCTTTCAATGGTCTCAAACTTCTTTCAAAACTCTTCTTCTGGTATTGTTCTATAGTTGTGAGTCATGGGTCACTACTGGGTCAGAAGAACCGAGATTGATCACCAGAAGGGCCATGAGGGCGAGTAGTGGGTGTGTGCATTTGTAACACGTTACAGATGAGCAGTGATGGAGGGGAAATCCTGCAAAGGATGTCTGCAGATGTCTGAGTCAAAAAGAAGAGGGCCCAGTCCTGGGGCCAGAAGAAGGAGGAATAACCGATAAACAGCCCATGAGCTCTGTTAGTATTCTTGTGACATCAAGGGGATAGGAGGAAGGCCCAAAGCATGTTGGGTAACATAGAAAGAAATAGAAATGAGACAGACTGGGTGGGCTGCATCTGAATCGTGGGTGAGAACACTGGCCCTGATGAGATCCCCAGACCATTGGAATGTTTAGAGTAGAAGAGTATGCACTTAGTAAGTTAGAACTTGTATTCTGGTTATCTGTCTTTCCTGCTAACCTGGGAAGGTCTAGGGGCAAAGGGCCATGTTGCTTTTTACCTTTGCATTCATAGTGGACAGTGAGGCCCAAAGTAGGTGCTGGATAACTATTGTGTTGTGTCAAATTGGATGCATGGCCCTTGATCTTGATATCTTCCTCTTCTAATGGGCTCAGCACTCCAGTTTTTAAAATATTCCCAGCCCAGTTGTTAAAAAGCCTTTTCTGCTTTAGGTTGGTAGAGGAGAAGTATTCTTCGTGGAAAGCAGGTGCCATCATTTCTGGAGCCAGTGTGCACCATCTCATCTCCTCATAATGACCAGAAATAGATGGCTGTCTTTTCTTGGCTGGTGCATTCCAGTTTCCAACCTGCAGAAAGCCTATAATTTGGGGCTATTTGCAGAACCGAGATGAGCAATCCACCGTGTGACAGCTCATTTTGCTGGCTCTAGCCAAGACCCACTCCTTCATAAAGACCCATCCTGCAAGTGCCCACTCAGGGGAGTGACTGTTCCAGAATCCTGGCATCCCAGTTTTGCAAGAGAAAGATGTGGTAGACAGCACCCAGGAGGGATCTGAGGATTTCTGCTCTAGACAGAGAACAGCTACTCTCTCAAAAGGTCCAGCTAAGAACTTGAGTCAGGAAAAAGTCGAGAGTTAGAAAAGGAGGGACTTCCTCAGGGAAGAAAAATGAATTCTGAAGTTGGAGCTTTGTCAGATCTCAGGAGTGATACTGGGGACAAAGGAACAAAGCCTCATGGAAAACCTTGGCTTGGTATGACATCAGGAACAGCAAACCAGGGGAGAGGCATGTTGGAGACAAAGCCAGAAGTGACTTGGGATGAGCCAGGAGCTGAAAAGAAACCTTCACCTCATCCTCCTTGTGCTGAAGGAGAAGGACCGTTTGGGGAGGTCCCCTCAGCTGCTGGTGCCTTCCCCTCCCTTCCCATACCTTCCTATCATACCATCTTCCCTCCACTCTTATCTATCTTGTAGGAACCCAGTTGTTTGCATGTGGTCTCCCCTGCTAGAATGTGAACTCAACCATGTTGTTTTTTCTTTCTTTTCAGGGTATCCAGTGATTAGCACAGTGCCTAGCACATAGTAGTCAGTCAATAACCATTTATTAAGCACCTACAATGTGTCAGGAATTATGCTAAACCAAGGAATAAAAAAAAAGGCAAAAGACAGCCCATGCCTTTGAAGAGCTCACAGTCTAAAGGGGCAGACAACATGCACACAATTAGGCACACAGGATAACTGGGGAGTAATCAACAGACAAAGGCATTAGAATTAAAAAGAATTGGCAAAGGTTTCCTGTAGTTGGTGAAATTTTATCTGGGACTTGAGGGAAAACAGGGAAGTCAGGAGATGGAGAAGAGAAAAGAGCATCCCAGGCATGAGGACTGACAGCCAGAGAAAACACCTACAGCTGAGAGATGGAGGGTCTTGTAGGCACTCAATAAATGATTGTTGAAGTTGAGTATGACCTTGGACAAGTCACTTAACTTCCTTGTACACTGAATCAACAGTTTCATAGGAAATTGGGAGGAAAAAGAACTTTGAAAGACTTGAGAATTCTGATGAATGTGATGATAAATGCCATGATTCCGAAGGATCAAAGATGAAGCATGCCAGTCACCTTCTGAGAGACGGGGATGCCTTCAGAATGCTGACTGAGATGTGTATTGTTGGACGGGGTCAACAAGGAAATTTGTCTGATTCATTATGCTTGTTTGTTAAGAAGACTTTCTTTTTCTTTTCTTTTTTGTGCTCCATTGTGGGAAGAGGTGAGTAGAAGATGAAATAAATGTTTGTCGCCAAGAAAAAAGGAAGTAATGTGTTGAATTTGTTATTTAATTTTTAAAAAGCAAGTTGTACACAATAAAGATTCATTCTTTCACATACATGCCTCTTTATTTTCCACTTTATATATAGAAATACTTTCTTTTTGTGTTTGTTAAATCAGAATAACTAAATAAAAATGTTTAAATATAAAAAAAAAATTGCTGATTGACAGCAAAGGATTGTGGTGCTGAAGTAGACAAGTGAAGACTTTGCTCTTTCTTCCTGTGTTTTGAAGCCGTGCAGAATCATAGCCCACAAAACCCAAATACCCCAGGCTTACTTCTCTACCTACTTAATTACTCATTTTCATATGTGCTCCAGCAGCAGCTGAGTTTATTTCTGGTTCATCTGTCTTGATGATTTTTACTTATTATTTCTCTCATTTCTTAACATCTTCACTCAGCATTGGACCCCTCTAAGACTGTTGGGGAAATGCCAGCTTGTCCAAGGAGAAGATGACTCTTCACTGTAGCTGACCCGCAGAAGCTCCTTGCCCTCACTCCTTGAGTGACCTCAGAATGGAGGTGACCTGAATCTCTTGCATTAAGTAAGTCTTGAGGGAAGACTACTGAGAAGCATGTGGGGCAAAGAGTTCTGGATGTGTCTGGGGTGGGCAGATTCCGGGCTGAGGCGAAGTCAATCAGTAAATAAGCTCTGATTAAGTGCCTACTATGTGCTCTGTGCTGAGCACAGGAGAAACAAAGGCCAAAACAGTCCCTCCCCTCAAGGAGCACTCACATTCTTTTTGGGGAAATGATATGCAAATGATCCTATATATACAAGGTATATATATACCCTCTCACTGGGAGGAGTGTCAGCGGGATGACACCAGTAGTGCGGAACTGAGGGACCTCCTGCAAAAGGTAGGATTTGAGAGATTCCTGGAGGAAGCCAAGGAGTTTGGGACACAATCTGTCTGAAAAAGGGAGAATTGTTTAGAAAAAACCCTTCCATTGGAGGGTGAAGAGTGGGAGGTGAGACTGGTGAAGGGAAGTAGTCCATCCAGAAACGTTTGTTAAAAGCCTTCTCTGTGAAAGAACTGATTGAGTCTGAATGCGGATTGAAGCATACTATTTTCCGCTTTATTTTTTCATGTTTTTTATCTGTGTTTTCTTCCACAATACGACTAATATGGAAATATGTTTTGCATGATTGCACATATATAATATACATTAAATTGTATATCCTCCTATCTGGGGAGGGGAGAGGGAAAGAATTTGAAACTCAAAATTTAAAAAAAGAAGAATGTTAAAAATTGTTTTTACATGTAACTGGGAAAAAATAAGGAATTATTCACAAAAGAAGCCTTCTGTGTGCCAAGCATTGGGCTAAGTGCAGGCGATTAGGAAAGAAGACAAAAGACAGATTCTGCCCTCAAGGAGTTCATGGTCTACTGGGGGAGACCGTGTCCAGACAAGCTACATATGAGAGAAATAGGACATTGTTAAGAGAGGGAAGGCACTAGAATTAAGAGGGCTTGAGAAAGGCTTCCTGACGAAGACGAGATTTTCCCTGGGACTGAAAGGAAGCCAGGAGGGTATGAGTAGGCAGAGATGAGGAGGAAGTGCATTCCAGGAATGAACGCGGCTGAAAAGGATAGTCAGAAATAAATGCCTAGAGCAGAGAGACAGAGAGTGTTGTTTGTGTGATGTCACGGAGGCCAATGTCACTGGATGGCGAGGACTGGAAGGGTAGTGGGGAAGTTATGAAGAGCCTTGAATGCCAGATCGTGTTGGTGATAGGAAGTTTGTAGAGTTTATTGAGGAAAATTGGTAAAAGCTAGGTGGTAGTGGAGAAAGGAAAAAGGACCCCCCCACACACACTTTCTACCTCCTGAGAGGTCTGGCTCAACTCTGTTTGATCCTATGTCCTGAAGGCCAAATTTATTATTTAAAAATAGATAGTTCTTTTAATAGCGTTGAATTGTAATGAAGCAATTTGACCATCTCATGGAATTTGTGATAATGACATTTTGCTGATGGTCGTTTCCTCTCCCTTGTGAAAATCATAGCAATTTTAGAGATGGAAGGGAATCACTTAATCTAAGTGCCTTATTTTATAGCTGAGGGAAGGTAGGCCCAGTGAAGTCTAGAGACTTGTCTAAGGCACACAGGGAGTGACAGTTTTGGGGTGGGGAAGAGGATACTTTCCTGGGCATTGAGGGAATTGCTTAACGGATCTTAGTGAGTTTTGGTACCACTCTGTAGAATTTGTTTTAAGGAAAAAGAAGAATTCAATCCTGTAAAATTTTCAGAGGTAGATATCACTTAGATCACTTTCCCCCTGAAGAGTGATAGGTGTATTGTATGAGTGTAATGAAGGAAGGTAGCTGGTTTGAAAGTGATCACAGAGTGAAGAAAATAAATTGGTATTGGTTTGCATTTTAAATTTATCTGAAACCCAAATAGCTGCTCTTATTAACCCCTTCTTGATCATGAAAAGAAAAAAGCTTGTTTAAATCAAAGAGCAATTTTAAAATGAGTAAAATTTAATTAACCACCGGAAAGAGGGAGGTGACCAGGAACTCGGAATGTCTTTTGGGAAGGCTGAAGTAGAACTTTCAAAGCTTTATATAATAGAATTAATTATTTAGGTAAATTAGAAGCAAAGTCATAAAAGAAAATTAGAAAGAAACCACTCATTTGTACACTCGTAGGAACCCCACAAGGTGACAGTATTGCAATTCTTTGGGGTTGTATAAAATTTTGTGCTAAATTACAAAGGAGAAATACAATGAGTGAAGATGAGTTATTTAGATAGTTTGGGATATGAGTAGGAAATATAGTACTCTGCCCCCAAAGAGCATTCCAGGAACACATTCCCCAGTCTTTAGACCCTCCTGAGCTTGTAAGGCAAGGGATGGAAATTTGGTGCCACTTGAAATTTCTCCCTATCTTTTCCCCGGGGATGAAACTGAAAAAGCTCAAAGTAAGAGAAAATGAGACTAGGTTATGAACACAAAAAGGGACTGATTTAGCTCTTTGGGTGGTTTTTGAAAGAAAGTCAGTAAAAAAAAGTTTATGGAAAGGTGAAAGTGCTACTGTTGATCTTTGAAAATGAGCTAATTGTTAACCCTAGACTCTGAATTTTAAAGTGCAGGTGCCTAATAGCCCTGGGGAAAATTGGGATTTTGATTTTGTAGTGGTAAATCCAGCTTTGATTTGGCTGAGATTTGTCCTGTAACTAAATTATGATGTGGTGAAATGTGTTCTCCTATTACTTGTGGTATTAAAGGCAAAAAAAAAAAAATGCCAAAAAAATTCAGGGAAATCTGAGTTCCATTCTGGTCTCAGAAATTTATTATCTGCGTGATCTTAAGTTATCTTATCTCTCCTTACCTCAGTTTTCTGATCTACAAAGAGGAAGATAATAACGGTACCCACCTCTCAGGGTTGTCGTGAGCATCAGAATGATCTAACGATTGGGAAGTGTTTGACATAGTGCCTGGCATGTGGCGAGCATCATACAAACGTTGACTCGTGCTATTAGCATTTCTATAATTGGATGTAATTGGTCCATACGTGATAACTCTGTGCCAGGTTTCAGATGTGATTCATATAAAATGCCAAAGATGAGAAAATGAATGATATTTTTTTAGATAAGATAATTTGGAAATGCTTTTTGCTGAATTGATACCATCTGACTGGTAATAAGTTTTATTTCATGTTTTAAATACATGGCATTGTATATGTTATAATTGTGTTTTTTTTCTTGTATTATGAAATGCTGTAGGAAATCATTGTATCAGAAATGCTGTTAGAAAAATAACTTCTCTTTTAATCTGGAAGCTGTTAGATTATGAATTGAACTGTTAAAAAATGTGATAAAAATAGATATTTGAAAATGTAAATATTTAATGAGGTATATTTTGTTTTGAAATATAGTAATTTACTGTTTGGGGGAAAAGCTGCACAGATCCTTTAAAATATTCTTATCTGTGAGGTCCTTTGAGACTTTGTATTCAGGCAGGGTCATAAGATCTTTTCAGCCCTACTGACCACATCACATGCTGCAAAACTGAAAATACTGAAGTCTGAGAACCTGAAATCAAGAAAATAGGATCCCCTCTTCCACTCCTTGTCAAAGGGGGAGAGGGAATTTACAAGTTTATTATAATAAAAAGTAAGCTTTCCTTTGAAAGTTTTTGGAGCTCACTTATAAAAATTATGAAAATGAATAGGGTAGTTCAAAGTTGTAACTTCAATATATTAATGTGAGTCAACGGTCAGGTATTTAGTATATGTCTGAAACCTTAGCATGTGGTTTCATTCAAAAATAAGGGACAAATGTAACATAACTGTTAGGGAAACATGAGAAAATGAGTAATATTCAAGCCCTAAGTTATGGTTAGTAAAACACTGCTAGTTAAGGTCAAAAACTCTTGGGACTATATTATTGTTTTGAATTTTGATTACAGTGATGGTTGTATGAATTGGAGCCAACGGTAGAAAATGGCATGTGCTGCATTCTGAAAACTTCTAGAGGTGGATGTATGTCCCTGGGAAAAGTTGATAGAATGACCTTAGCATAGTCTAAGGTAGGTTCCTCTTGACTCAGCTTCCCCATTGTGCTTTTCCTTTCTGAACAGGACATTTCCCCAGCTGGTTAATCCTGAACCTGGCCTTTAATACCCTGTAAACAATATGGAACTTTACTACATGGATTGACTCATATATGACTTGTGTTTGGAATCAAACAGAGCCAAGGGAGCTAATATACCCTGTAATAGTATATGTCAAATCAGCTGTGCCCTTGAGAGGACAAGTCTTGACATTGTTATAACTATATCTCTCCTTTTTCTTTTCATAGCAAATTTCTATAATCAAGGCAGGTGAGTGATAGAATTTTTCTAAGTACAACACTGAATCTATTCATTGATAGATTGATATTGGAACATCTCTGAGTTGCTATAATAGGATGCAAATATGAAACAATTTAGAATTTTAATCTGTATTTGTGGTCAAATTGTAATATAGGATGATATCCTCCTAAGGGGGGAATTAGACAAAGTAATAAGGCAAAGATGTAAGTTTTCTAATTAAATGGAATGATGAATTTTGAGAAAGCAACAGGATTAGACTGTTTTCTTTAAGAACTATATACATATGTATATGATTTACATCCAAATGTATCTAGTATGGAAATTCAGGCTTTGCTTAGGTTTTAGTAATGAGTTCTCAAAATTGGATTAAGAATTTTACATATAAAATTGCTTTAATAATTGCAAAGAGAGTGAAATTATTTTCCTATTTTAATGTATCTTATAATTTTGAAAGATAGAAAGGTTCATTTTACAAGTTAGAATTTTTTTTAAGATTCTTATATCAGGTATAAAGTTTAGGTAAAGATAAAAACAAGTGGTATATCTTTTGAAAAGCACCAGTATGAGTTTGGATTGATTTCCCTTTTTAAGGGAAATGACAACCAGCAATTTCAGTTCTAATGGTATAATTAAAACAAATAAAATGTATTTACAAAAAAAAAATTCTCTGACATTTCAGGTTTAAAAAGCCAAATTTAAGACATTATACTAAATGGTATTAAGTCTTGTTACTGGTAGATTTTAGGAGAATTTTCTATTAATCTCTACAAGTAAATTTTCTACTAATCTCTACAAGAGCTACCCTGAGAATGAGACCTATTCCATAATGTCCAAGAGAAGATGTTTCCAGGGACCAGATGACTATATGAGGCATCCTGGACTCAAAAAATAGAAAAAGTCTGTATAATTTACATAGTATAAAAATACAGACTATCCCCCAACAGTGAGGGTGATCCAAAAAAGGTGCTAGGACCAAAAAAATTAGGGGTGTGGGGGGGGTTGACTTAGAAATGCAGTTAGAACTTCCACTCTGATGTCCAAAGACAGGTCTATGCTCACACCTACAAATAAGCTTCATCTTTGGATGAATCTCCATTGTCTGTATTATCCATGCTTTTGGTCCCCTCAAATATTTTAGAAAATCGAGAGCTGCCTTCAATGAGATTTGTCCTAGGATTACTCCATTCAAAACTTTTACACTTTTTTTTTTTCAAAATTAGATATTTAAGATTTTTTACAATTTCTTTTGGTATTCCCTTAGGAGAAAACATGGATTTGTACAATATGACCATCCAGCGCAATGTCTCCAACGAAACCGTGGAAAACCCAGCCCATTGTGATGACCACTGCAGGAGGGTGCTGGCCACACTCTATAGCATAGTCTTGTTAGGAGGGACAGCCAGCACCATCATGATGTCCCATGTCTTGTTGCAGAGGAATTCCCAGTCCATCATCACCGTCATCATCGCCAACATCATCGTGCTGCATTCCATCCTCCTGCTCAGTCTTCCATTCCGCCTCAGTTACTACTTTCTGTTGGAGTGGAAGTTTGGCTGGTTCATCTGCCGGGTCATCAGCAGCACGGTACATTTCCATATGTACTTCACTTTTGTTTTCTATGTGGCCATCATTGTCATACGCTTACTCATTTACTTTAAAAGGTTCCCCCTGCAGGAATTACAGAAGTGCCATGTGATAGCCTTGAGTGTTGCCATCTGGTTGGTGGGGATGCTCATTTTCTCCCTGATTTTTCTGTTCCAATATGGCACCCATATGGACTCCTCCCAGCATCACTGTTTTCAGTTCTACCAAGAACTCAACCATACGCCAGTGATTGTCATCAATTACTGCATGATTGGCATTATCATGGTGACAGTCTTGATCCTCTCCCTGATTCAGCTGGTTGTCATCACCCAACTCACCAAAACGCTCTGGCCTGAAATGTTGACACACCAAGAGTTTCGAGCTCATATCAATAGTTTCTTTTTCTTGGTGGTAATTATTGTTTGTTTCCTACCACATCACACCTTTCGGGTTTTCTTCATTCAAAATTATTTCCAGAACAAAAAACCTGAGTTAATTCTCTGTGGTGAAATTTGCAAGGCTTTAACGACCGTCTGCTGCCTGGACATGTTGTGCTTCATAAGCGGACTGGCCCATTGAATGCTTGTTTTGATCTACCAGCAATGTCATTTTGAGAGAAGTTCCAGATTTAAAGATGCTGTGTCAACATGAACCTTCACCCTTCCTCTTCTAGAAGGAAGTTAGCAGCAGTCACCTACCTGTCCCTCTCCTCATCTTTCCATCTTCATGAAGCAGCCTAAGGTGATTTACATAACTTTGCCCAGATGCCTTGAAGGATGATGGAAGACAGACAAGCGAATGAAAAGAGTGTGAGAATTTTTTCCCCCAAAATATACTGTGGGTGGAGGTATGCTGCCTCATGGACAGTACATCCCTTGAGCATTGGGAGGTGGAAGGGACAGCTGGTGCAGACTCACCTTAGGTCAGTGACAATTAGGAAATTAAAGGAAATAGTCCAAAGTTTCTTTGATAATGGCTAACATTTATATAGTGCTTTAAGATTTGTAAAGTGCTTTAAGATGTATTGAATTTTATACTCGTAATACCATTGGAGATATTCCAAATATCAAAGTTGCCAGGTTATGCCTGGGTGGGGCAAATAAGCCAGATAAATGAAGGGTCAAAGGTCTCCAAATTGCTCCCAGGTGATCTGAAGGCTCTACTGACAACAATAGTTGCAAAAAATGTTATTTGAACTATCTACAATGCATGATCACCCAAAGTCTTTTCCATTTTTCCTCTCACCGTCAGACAGAAGATCAGTTAGTGAGTCAATAAATACTTATTAAGCACTTGATACATGCCAGGGACTGTGCTAAACAAGGGAGGTACAAAGAAGGGTAAACACAGTGCCCAACCTCAAGACAAAGAAAGACGGCCACACAGAAATGGTTCCCTAATGACAAGATTTGGAGTGGGGGAGGTCATTCCAGCCACCATTAAGGGACCGAAAGAGAGGAACAACGACCCCTTATGATAATCACATCCTACTCAGTTTTGACCTTGTTTCATTCAGAAGACTCAGATGGACTGATGGTCTCCTAGATGGGGAAGTTCTCTTCAGCAGCGCAGATCACAGCCCATCCAGTGTGACTTTCATCTAGGCCCTCCCAAAAGTTCACCACAAGGAGTCCATCCAATGTGCAGGACACCTTCCTCACTTCCTTATGACATTGGGAGTATAACAGTGAAGTCCTTGATCTGTCATCCAACTTGAGTTCCTGCCACAGAACCAATCCGTCAGTGGGGAACTTAGAAGATAAAACTATTTAATAATGGATTCTGGGGGACCTTTTCTCAATCCTCATCTTTTGACACCATTCATCACCTCTCTTCCTCCTCTTCTCTCTAGGTTTTCAGAACACCTCTTTCTCTTCTCCCTCTGTGACCACTCCTTCTCTGTCTCCTTTGCTGGATCCCCCTTCAGATCATGCCCTCTGACCATAGCTGTCGTTCGGGGCTCTGTCCTGGGTCATCTTCTCTACTCTCTCTTCCTCCTTCGCTTAGTGAGCTCATCACCTGCCATGGATTGAATGACCAGCTCTATGCTGAGGATTCTCAGATCCCATCCAGTGCTAACCTCTCCCTGACCTCCATTCAGCTACCTATTACACATCTCAAACTGGATGTCCCATGAACACTTGAAATTCAACATGTCCGCAACTGAACTCATCATCTTTCCATCCCAACCCAGATGTCATACACTACTCCACTCTCTTCACACCCAATCATCACCAAGTCCTGTCATCTCTACCTTTAGTAACATCTCTGCCACAGACCCTTTCCTCTCCTTGGACTTGCCACCCTCCGGGGCAGGGTCTCATCATCTCATTCCTGGGTGGGACTGCCGGCCACAAGGCTCTCCCCTCTCCCATCCATCCTCCACTTAGCTGTCAAACTGATCTTTCTGAAGCACAGGTCTGAGATGCCACACCCCCTCACTTCTATTCAGTGAACGCCAGTGGCTCCCTCTCACCTCCAGGATCAAATGTCAGACCCTCTGTTTGGCTTTCAAAGCCCTCCATAACCCACCCCCACCTTTCCAGTTTTCTTACCCATCTCTCCCCTCTGATGTGCTCTGTGATCCAGCGACACTGCCCTGCTTGCTATTCCTCACACAACACCTCTCCACTCCTTGCATTTTCCCAGGCTGTTCCCATGCCTGGAATTCTCTCCCTCCTTATCCCCATCTCCCGACTGCCTGCAAATTCCAGCTAAAATCCCATTCTAAGAAGAAAACTTCCCAATCCTTCTTTTTGCTAGTAGTGCCTTACTTCTGATTACCTCCAAATTCATTATTTCTATCTTGTTTGAACATAGTGGTTTCCATGATGTCTCTCCCATTAGAATATAAGCTCATGGAGGGCAGGGACTGTCTTTTGCCTTTCTTTGTATCCCAGCACTTAGCACAGTGCCTGGCACATAGCAGGCATTTAATAAACGCATGTTAACTTCACCTGACTTTTTGGGTCTTTCTTCCCTAGAGTAACCTTGTTTCTTATCCTGTGACTCATAGTAGCACTGACTATGGTGAGAGCTCTCTCTCCTTGAGGTTTGACTTTATCACCAACGGTAATTCTAGTGTTTGGCTTCCTCATTTCGCAGCAGATTTTCCCGTCAGGTGGTAAGTGCTATGAAGCTATAAGCTTCGTCCTTTGAGCTCCCAGGGCACCCATGGAAGAGCCAAAGATTCCTCTGCTCTTAAGCCTGCTCTGTCATGGGGGAGAGAGGAGAAACCAGTACTTCTGCCTTACTACAGTGATTCCCACCAGAAGATAGAAAAAGACTCCCATCATTTCAGCCGCATTTGTAATATCCTAAGCTGTGTGTCTTACTGAGGGTAACTAGGCAGTTTAGTGGATACAGCGCCAGGCCTGGAGTCAGGAAGACTCACCCTCCTGAGTTCAAATCTGCCCTCAGACACTTGCTAGCTGTGTGACCCTGGACAAGTCACTTCACCCTGTTTGCCTCAGTTTCCTCATCTGTAAAATGAGCTGGAGAAGGAAATGGCAAACCACTGCAGTATCTCTGCCAAGAAAACCCCAAATGAGGTCACAGAGTCAGACAGGATTAAAAATGACCGAACAACAACACAAATGTCTTACTTGCATTTCAAGACAGAAATTGAATGTGAAGCCAACAACTACTTTGTTTCTCATTGGAATGAAACTGCTTAACCAGTTTTAAAATCCCTTCTAACAAGCATGCAAAGCAAACCAGAGTAGCACAACCCGGCTCCCCTAGCTGAATTTTGTGTTGGCTTTGGCTGTGGGCTGGGCTTGCCCGGATGGCTTCTGTGGTCCCTTCCAGCTTCAAGCGATTCTGGTGTCCTTTCCCTTTCTTGGGCCCAAGATTGGGTTTGGAAATGCTTTTGCAGTAGATGGTGAGGCTTTAACAACCCTCTCCCCTGCTCAGCCCCCTTATCCCCGTAGCCTCAGCCCCAAGTTCTGCTAATCCTGCTTGTCTTGGAGAGCTGGGATAGGCAGGTGAGTCCCTAATTTCTGGGTCAACTGGGGGTTTGGCTATCTGTTCAAGAGGCTTCTGTCGGTCATAGGAAACCACAGGCAGGCTTCCTGTCTGCATGAGAAACACAGAATAACATCCTCACACTATGCTCCTGGGTGCCCCAGCTGTGCCCTAGAGACACTTGCTGCTGTGACTTCCCAGAATCTCTGGAGGGATCTGGGGCCCACCGTGGTGGGAGGCCACTTTCTCTAGGGCTCTTGTCTGCTACCCTGTTCCTGCCCCCAAGCTCGGTGTCCTGGGCCCTCAGGAGGAAGGTCTTCCAGTTACCCCCTAATCCAGTCCCTGCTGCCAGGGTCTCAGAAATGGTGCCTGACTTCGACTTTCCTCCTCCTATGACTGTACAGGTAGTTTTACAAAGTTCCAGAAAGGAAAAAGAAAGGAATCGCCATGCACTGGGGAGAAGGGAAGAGGGGCAGTGAGTCAGACTCAGATTGGTTTCTTTGAACCCTTAATTAGACACAAGTGACTGGGAAGGGGGAGCATCGTTAGAAGGTGTGGAGGAGTCCAGGGACAGAAAAACCATCTGATAATCCGGTCGGGGGAGGTGCCTGGCCTGGTGGGGCACTCAGCCACATCTAAGCCATAGGACCGAGACAAGGGAACCTGAGGCATTCTCTCCACGTTGCCCCAGATCTGGCTCCTTTGCAGATGAAGGGTCTCAGATCTCGGGCCAAACCTTAAGGAATGAAGACACGAAGCTGCCACCTAGGACTATAGTGAAGTGAGGGGCAGTAGGTAACGTAAGGAACTCTGGCCTGGGACCTGGGGCTGCCACCTGCACCCCCACATGGATACTACAGGATGAGCTGTGCCAGGTCCGAGGTCATCTGTGGACATATGGATGCTCAAAGCCGCAGAGCATGAGCTCCCCGGGGTTTTTTCTTATTTCCAGCAGAGGACATGGTGAAGGGAACGGGATGGAGCAATTCTCAGAGATGACCACCTCCAGTTCGCAGTTATTTTGCATATGTGAGCTTTCCAGGAAGTTCATCAGAATGCCCTGCCTCTCACACTATGCAGCCAGCCCTGCCCAAGCTATCAGCTGGCTGAATGCAGGCGGTCAGGCTTCCTCAGGGACAAGGAAGGTCACCCTATACAAGGTTCCCCCAGTGGCCGCCCAGATTTGAAGAAAGCCCACCTCATGCAGGCTGCTCTGGAGGGGTCCTAGCCATGCCCATCCCCATGGGCCTGAATAAGACCCAGAAAAGTGCGCATCAGCCTCTTTGTGAGGTACTGCTATGAGCACCTCCACACCAGGATCTGTACTCTCCATTGGCCTGTACGCTCCTTGAAGGCAGACTGTCTTTTTTTCATATCTATGTCACCGGAGCCTAGCCCAGCCAGGCACAGAGGAGGCATTTAATAAGTGCTCGTTGTCCGACTCTCTTGTTCCATACCTTTGCTTAAATAAATCTTAGCATTGAGAGCAAAAATTTCATGTCTTCCTCATTTTTTCAGTATTCAGGAAGAGCCCACCACAGGCATTGTTCATCCAAAGCAAATTTCTCTATTAGCCATAGACTATTTCCCCCAGGTACACAGGGCCCCCTCCTCCACAAATCCAAACACAATTGATGGGGAAATCCAAACCACAAGGAGGACCCTACCTAGACCCCCATGAAGGTACCCCCACCCCACCCCCCACCCAGGGCTTTGCCAGGATCCTGCTCCTTACCTCCCTTGCCCAGCCCTAGGCCGGGGTGCAGGTGGGACCCAGGCCCATAGCCCTGCTGTGGTTTCAGGGGGAAGGCACCAAGAACCATCCTCCCCAACAGCCAGTGCCGAAGATGATGCCAACGCTGCCCCCACCGCTGCCACTGCCAACCTGTGCTTGCTAGATTCTCAGCAATGCCTCATCTCTTCCTCATCTTGCCCCCCCCCCCCCCCCTTTCCCTGCACTGGAACAAGAGGAAAAGTTTTGAATTCTTTATTGACGTTCAACTTCAAGAGAACCATGGATACACGATTTGATAATGGAATGGTGAGGGGGAGGAAAGACGATGATGCCTTGTCTGCCCCTCTCCCTTTCCCTGAGTCTGCTCCGTTCAATTTTCTTTAATTCACTTCAAGGATAGCCTTGTAAAATTCACTGATGAGCTGGACTTATTTTAAAGGGCAAATATACAGTAGCTATCACTAAATAGAGCCGTTTATTAGGAAAATGACTCCTCGGCCCCAGAGCTCTGGGGAGCACGGGTAGAGACGGCGCTCCTCGTCACGATGCCTTCCACAATGCTTCAGTTTCAATGAATCAAGGCCAGCGTGAATCACCCAAGAAGAGGGACTGAGATGTTCCTATTTTAGGTCAATGAGGCTGAAGGGAATTGCTGGTCAGATTCTAAGAAGTATTGCTAAAGAGATAGCTAGTGAGCACTCGGAAAGGGAAGGACCAAAAGCCAGAGGATCAGGGAACATCGGAGGTGGCATTTGAACCCAGACCCTCTGTTGCCCACACCAGCTTTGTGTCCATTCCACTGGATCGCACCACCTCCCCTAGGAAGACCTCCCTCCCGCTGCTCGCAGGCTGATGTCTCTAAACCCTATTCAGAGAATTGCTCGTCATTGCCTCCCCTCCCCACGCCGACAGCGCCGTCTACCAGGGCGCTTAATAAATGCAGGCTGAATGAAGTACACGGCTTTCCTGGGCGCGGAGGGGCCGCCAGGCTGTTTCGGCCGAGGCTCCTCCCCCAGGACCTCATCGGACCAATGAACCCGCACGTTCAGCTCCCCTTCTTATTTCTGTACTGGGGACAGAAAGGCCAAAGGAGTGACAGTCCAGGAGCCCACGAGGTTCTGTGCTTGCAAGGCCTACATCCTAGAGATTAAAGGGGAATGTTAAGGGAGGGAGGGAGGGAGGGAAGAAAGGAAGGAGGGGAGGGAAGGGAGGGAGGGGAGGGAAGGGAGGGAGGGAGGGATGGAGGGATGGAAGGAAGGAAGGAAGGAGGGAGGGAAAGAGGAAGTCCAGTCAGTCACAGCATTTATTAAATGCTGACTATGTGCCAGACGCTGTGCCAAGCACTAGGGATGCAAAGAAAGACAGTGTCTGCCCTCAGGGAGCTCCCATTCTCGGAATGGTCCAGCGAGTGCCCAGAGCGCACCAAGGAACTTGAGAGGGCCAGCCACTTGGAACTTCTGCTCTTCATGGTCTGCAGCCCCTTCCGCATTGCACCCAGGATTTGGTGGGACCCAGAGCAGTTCCTCAAGTCCCTTTTTCTTCCTGAGAAGAGGAAGGGCATCCTAGTTTCTCCAAAGTCCCTTTAGTTCCTTGTAACAAAGATTGAAAATCAGGGTCCCCACAAAAATCTCTTGGAGTAAATAAAATCACAAGAAGGTGTTAAAAATAATCCGACAATTTGAGGATGAAATATGAAAACTCTGCCCCCTTCCCCTTTGTTTCTAAAGCTCATGATTCCCACCCCCACCCCCTTTAAAGTTGGGTTTCCAAACCTTTGGACCCAATAATTCAAGGAAAAAAATTGCCATTTTCAGGCAAAAAAAAAAAAATAGGCTGTCCTCCTTCGTTGGCATGAAGCAGCCTCTGAGCAGTTAAATAAATTCTAACTTTCTGTGTAAATGTTAATTTATTACAATGCAAACAACACATTAATTTTGTTTTTCCTCTTACAAAGCATTCAGGGATGTAAGTTTTCCTCTAAGAATTCCTTTGGCTGGATCTCCTAAATTGTAATGTGCTCTATTTATATTGTCATTGTGTTTGCTACAATCTCTTGGTGTTCCTGTATTTTTTTTTCTGTAACTGCTCTGATTCAACAAGTCATTTTTCAGAGCCTCTGCATAGGTTTGCTCTCTTGACCAGGCCTTCCATGTTTGTTGCTACTTTAGCTGAATAATC